ACTCCCATGGGTAGATCAATGCTCTCAGGAGTGGAATTCATTTAATTCTTGCAGGAGTCACTTGTTATAAAGGAGTAAGCCTGACCCCTTCCATGTTTTGCTTCCTCTCTTGACATGTAAGTTGTCCTACTCATGCTCCCACCATGTTATGCCATCTGCCCTGTTGTGATGGAGGGGGGCCCTCACCAGATGCTGGTGCCATGCTCTATGGATTTTGCATCCAACAGACTCATAAGCCAAATAAAGATCTTTACTTTATTAAGCACTCAGTCTCAGGTATTTTGTTATGGCAACACAAAAAGGACTAAGACAATGGACCAGGGAAGAGGCAGCCTTAAAAGACAAAAAAGATAGCTAAAAACACAGATAAAACTGTGACCACCCAAAGGGGAATGGAAATGCAGATTTCTCCCCTCATCATGCTATAGTAAGGGGCTCCACCACTGGTCTGGTATCATAGAAGGTCATAAGGGGTCAGGACTTTCACCCCCCCACACACCACCCTGCCACAGTAAAAAGGCTCCTTCCAGCAGGGCGCCAGTGGCTCATACCCGTAATCCTAGCTGCTCAGGAGGCAGAGATCAGGAGGATTGCAGTTTGAAGTCAGCCCCAGGCAAACAGTTCATGAGACTCAATCTCAAAAAAGGACTGTCGGAGTTGATCAAGTGATAGAGCACCTGCCTAGCAAGCTTGAGGCTGAATTCAAACCTCAGTGCTGCCAAAGAAAAAAAAAGGCTCCTTTCCCCATGGTGTCAGTGGACGCACACAGAGTAGGCACACAGAGTCCTAACTTCTACACACACACAGCAGTAACAAGGCACCAGGCGTCAGAGGGGCCCTGGTGGAGGCTGGACTTTCACCACTGCCCACTGTCAGTGGAGGCCACAGAAGGAAGTAGCAAAGCTTTCCTGGTTCTCCCAGCCAGGGTGCTATTGGCAAATGCCTAAGAAGATGCAGAATTCTTGGCCCTGCCCAGCAGTAGCTAGGAGCCTCCTTCCCACTCCTCTGTCAACAGAGGCCAAGTGCAAAGCCAGACTTCTGCTCCTTTTCCCCGCCCCCGCGACTGGCTAAAACAAAAGGCTTAAATAAGACAGCTTTAAGAAAACGGCCTTGACTCTGGAAAACAGTCCTTGCTGGCAGGAGCTCCACCCACATTTATTTACTTAAATAAATGCATATTAAATTTAGGAGGCACTAAATTATTAATTCACCTCCCATTCCTTGGTTGAACCATTTCTTCTTGTCTGTCTTTTGATTGCTTTTCTTTGAACCACTTCTCCTGGTTATTATGGCTCACGTTTGAGCTAACCCATTGGGAAACTGGACAAGAAAACAAACTAAAGAAGACTTTTTTGGATCTGTACAACACCAAGAGAATAAAAACAAAACAGTCAATATGAGAAAGAGAAGCAGAGAGGAGTGACCAAAAAAAGAAATGCCTTGTTTAAATGAAAAACAATGGAAGGGAAAGAAAAGGACTGAAATTTGATTTCTCTAGCACCCAGACTACCCAACTTTAAATGAGTAATAAAACAAAACAAAAAACAACAAGACAGATGGAAGTGGCTCACGCCTGTAATCCTAGCTACTTGGGAGGCTGAGATAAGGAAGACTGCAGTTTGAGGCCAGCCCAAGCAAATAGTTCTTGAGACCCTCCCCATCTCCAAAATAATCACAGCAAAATGGGCTGAGGTATGACTCAAGTGATAGCCTGCACTGCAAGCATGAAGCCCTAAATTCAAACCTAATCCTTCCAAAAGAAAACCAAACAAACAAAGAAAAAACACTTATGAAAATAACCAAATGGAGACTGACTGGCTTACTTCTTTTTGGTTTATTTTTGGTAGTACAGGAATTTGAACTCAGGGCCTCATGCTTGCTAAGTAGATGTTCTACCACTTGAGCCACACCCTCAGCCCTTTGTGCTTTATCTATTCTTTTGAATAGGGACTCATATTTATGCCAGGACCTGCCTGGACCTTGATCCTCCTATTTATGCTTCCCATGTAGCTGGGAAGACAGGCCACCATGCCTACCTTTTATTGGTTGAGATGGGGGTCTCATGAACTTTTTGTATGGGCTGGCCTTGAACCTCGATTCTCCAGATCTTTATCTCCTGAGTAGCTAGGATTACAGGAGTGAGTCACTGTGCTCAGCCTACTCTCTTCTTAAAAAGTATGTCTTTCAAAAAGTAGTTTCAATAAAATGGATTTAGAAGAACATTTCCTTAAAAGTGACCTCTAATTTATTTAAGATTCCTTTTAGATTCAAATACACATGGAAACTGAATATGTGCTCAGGATGGCTTTTCAAATCTGATGGTACCATCTGTGAATCTATACCTCACACTTTGATTCAAATTCTATGTGGATCTAAATGCAAGAAAAGAGAAACATAAAAGTATTAAAAGAATCTGTGGTAAGAAAGTTTTTTATAATCTTGAAGTGGGCAAAGAATATAAGGAATTAGTCTGAAGGATTAAACAAATGGCTTTTAAATATACAAAAAGAAGCTCAGTGAGATGCAGTGACTCATCTCTATGATTCTAGCTACTTGGGAGGCTGAGATTAGGAGGATCAAGGTTTGAGGCCACAGGCAAAAAAAAAAAAATTTCACAAGACCCCATCTCAACCAATAGCTGGGCATGGTGGTGCATGCCTGTCATCCCAGCTATTTGGGAAGCTGACACTGGAAGAACTGAGGTTCCAGACTAGCCTGAGCAGAAAAGTCCAAGAGATCCTATCTCAATGGAAAAAGCTGGGCATGGTGGCTACGCCTGTCATCCCAGATACAGCCTAAAAGAAGAGAATAGTGATTCAGGCTCACCTAGGCAAAAAAAGCAAGACCCTCCCTTCCAAATAACCAGAGCAAAAAGGTTTGGAGGCATGGCACAATTGGTAGAGTGCCTGTCTAACAAGAAAAAAGCCCTGAGTTCAAACCTCAGTAAGGAAAAAAACCAAAAATGCTCAAATTCATCCACAAGAAAGCAAACAAAACTATTCCAAGGAGTAACACAAGTACATAAACCCCATGCTCCACTCCACCCTGGAACTCCTTGTTAACACTGGCAAAGGCTATGCTGGCTTTCCACAGAACAGCACATGGGACAGTGGCTTACACACTTTATTTGCTAATTTAAGAAAAGGCTGACCTCATAAAGCTGGAGCCCTTATGTACATCTGTATTATAACTATAAAATAAAGGGGTTAACATATTCCCACTAAATTAAAACTATGTTTTTGTTTTTTGGGTTTTTTTTTTTTTTTTGGTACTGGGTCTTGAACTCAGGGCCTTCACCTTGAGCCACTCCACCAGCTCAATTTTTTGTGACAGGGGTTTTCAAGGTAGGGTTTCGCAAACTATTTGCCTGGGCTGGCTTCAAACAGTGATCCTCCTGATGTCTGACTCCTGAGTAGCTAGGATTACAGGCATGAGCCAGAAGTGCCTGGCTTAAAACTATTTTTAAAGAATAAAAAATTAAGATGAATGTTCTGACTCACATTATATTACTAAGCTACAATGCAGACTAAAAAACATATCAAACATACTATTCTTGTATATTAGATGTATGCCAATGGAAAAAATTGGAAGGACTTAGACCAAAATGGTAGATGTTGCTTATCTGATGAAATGTATGATTTATAAAATAATATCAGCCAAGCACTGGTAGCTCACACCTGTAAATCTAGCTACTTGGGAGGCTGAGATTGGGAGGATCTCAATCCTCCCAGTGCCACCAAGTAATAATGATTAATAATAGTAATATTCTCTATGCTTTTATATTTATTTCTTCCTATGATTTCTGCAATGAGCACATGTAAGTTAGGTAAGAAAAAAATTCATTTTTTAAAAAATGACCTCTTAGAAAAACAAGATTCAGATTTTTTTTTTTTGTGGCAGTAATGGGGTTTGAACTCAGGGCCTCATGCTTACTAGGTAGGTACTCTACCACTTGAGCCATTCCATCAGTCCTTTTTTGTGATAGGTTTTTTCAAGATAGGGTCTTGCAAACTATTTACCCAGGTTGGCTTTGAACTAAGATCCTCCTGATCTCTGCCACCTTAGTAGCTAGGATTACAGGTGAGTACTACTAGCACCTCGGCTAAACCAGATCTATTTCTAACAACCACATGGAATAGCTTAGAAGAAAGGGATAGAGGCAGTGTCTTTACATAGAGAGACACTTCTCAACTTAGTCAATTCACAAAATTAACATCACATAAAACAACTGAACCAAGAAATAAATACAGGATATAGTGAAACAGCTTCTCAAATAATTTCTAAAGAATCCTTGTAGCACCCATAAAAGGGATCTTGTAGTCTTAAAAAGCTCTTGAACTTATTCTCTGAGAAATTCATTATGTAGGCCTGTGTTTAGACACACAGGATACTATTATATAACTAAGCAGCTGGGAAGATTAATGACAATTAAAAATAAAAAGGAAAATACATAGTACACCAAGGCACGACTGTTTAATGAGAAAAGGGTGAGTCAAAGGAAAACACAGGAGAATAAAAAAATCAAATAACAAGGACATTCTATCTCACATCTAATTCAAAAGGCATTACTTATCCAAAGACATGATTACCCTAGAAGAGTAAATAATACCCATGAGCACGTACACAAAATGTGCTGTGGAACACTTGTGCAGTACTAATCTCATGCCATTCTTAAAACCCAAACACCTTAAGGTGATCTCTGATTTATTTATCTTTCCAGTCCCACTCTCCTTCCTGGTTTCCAGCAGGAAACCTCCTTTCTTGACTGCTGTGTGCACTGCCTAGCTGTCACATCTTGGATGTACACTCCCAGTCCACCCTTCACGTGTCAGTCCCAACTCCAATACACATTTTCTGAGAGCTCACTACCCTTATTACACCAGGGCATGTTCATCCACCAAGATTCCTGGTGTGGCATCCAGATCTACTGTTAAGTTGTGGGGATTCAAAGATGAGTAAAAACACTGTCTTATATTCAAGGAATTTGGCTGGGTGAGGGAGAAAGGTGGAAGTAATTAAAGTGAAGTCAGCATTTGAGAGAAGCATGACTGTGCTTCATGAAGCCAGCTTCAAGTTGCAAATACTTGCTATTAACCCACCAATCACCAATTCTCCTAAACCACTGGTCACTAGCTCAAGTGTTCAGAAAGTAGGCAAGTAATATGAATGTGTGATCGGGTGGGGTGTAAGAAAAGAGCACATACTGGCACCTTTGGCCAGTTGGAGAGTACATGTCTTCTCTAAAGACATTCAGTTTCTTTTTCAAATGCCATGCCTACAAAACAAAACATGCCTGCAGGCCTAATCTGGTTCAGGCTGCCAGATTGACTTTTTATAAGAATGTTAAAGCCAGGTGTTATGGTATATGTCTATAGTCCCAGTACTCAGGAGGAAAGAGGCAAGAAGACCGTGAGTTTGATGCCACCTTTGGGTTACATAGTGAATTCAAGGCCAACCTGGGCTACAGAGCAATACTGTCTCAAAATAAAAAAAAAGGTTAATAACATTTATTGTTTACTACATTTAGGTCACCATTCTAAGTACTTTACATGTATTAATGTATTAACTCATTTGCTCCTTACAACTGTTGAGTTTGATAATGATTTTGCCTATTTATCAAATTTATGCCCACCTGTCTAGTCACTGGTCTATAAATTTAATCATTTTCTTGTCTACTGGCATCTTTCTCATTTGAAGGATTCTAATTTTTAAAAAATGCTTATTTTTTGGTGGTACTGGGGTTTGAAGTAAGGGCATCAGGTTTGCTAGGCAGGCACTCTACCATTGAGCCGTGTCACCAATCTGCAAAGGGTCTTAATTTTTAGGAAATAATTTTCCAGTTACTAAAGAAGTATATGGTCACTGTAAGAAAAAGTAGATAAATGCTTATGTTATTTTAATGTGTCCCCCAATTCCTCTCCCCAACTTTGGCTCATTTCAGATTCCTTTGCCAGTCCTCCTGACAAGAACAAACAGTAGTATGTTTTATTTTTAATATTCCTCTGCGCAATGTTCACAAGTCTGTGGATCTTTCTGGACAAGCAATCAATTAGGCTAGCATCTTCAGGGAATCCAATTTGTGTGAGCTAAAACAAATCCAAGGACACCTAGGGATTTGCTGCAATGGGCAAAATATAAACTTCCATGTCTTTGATCTTAATTCAAAATGCTTCACTAGATCAGAGGATGTGGCCATTTATTATTCATAAACGTTCCTAAAAGTGCTGGACATTACAGTCTGTTTTTACTTGTTAAAGCCAAAAAGTTGAATTATACCACAAACCATCCATTCTCCACCTTGGTATTTGTGTATATTACTCCTCTAGATGTGACCTCCTCATAAGGACATCCACATGGCCTCCCTACGTCCTGACTCCTACCCAATCTTCTTGACACCATTCACACACCACACCCTCTAACAAACCTTTGACCTCCAAGACAGGCAAGTGCCTCTCCCATTATAGCCAGTGGCCAGTTCTTGGTATCTATTTCAACTTCCTCCTTCAATTTCACATAATTTAGTTGGGAATTATGTAGCAATCACTTTTTTTTGGTGGCACTGAGGTTTGAACTCAGGGCCTCATGCTTGCTAGGCAGGCTCTACCACTTGAGCCACTCTTCCAGCCCTAGCAATCACTTTTTTTTTAAACCTAATTTGTACTTGAAATTTATGCAGTAATACTTATTTCTGAAAAAAAGGTGTGTCCTTGAGCTTTTAAACTTGGTAGTTTATTTTACAAATCTGAAGAATGGTGAAAAAAAAAAATACTGGACTTTGGCATTGAACTGGCGTGGTTTGGTTTCCAGCTCTACCACTAATGGCTGTGTGACCTTGAATTTAGTATTGCCGAGATAGTTTTATCATTTGGAAAATAAAGACCTACTTCACTGTGAGGATTAAATCATTAAAGTGCAAAGTACATAACCTGTCCAAGTTCATGTTCAGTAAGCGCTAGCCATCGTCACATTTCTCAACAGTAACATCTCATCAAAAGGAGCTGATTTAACTAGAGAGAAAGCATATTGCCAATTGATTAAGAACTACTCTTAACATTTTCTAATAAGCAACTTTACCTGTATTTAAATTAATTTGTAATTTATACTTAAGATTTGTTATCACTTGCCACCCACCTATTCACTATGAAGATATATATAAAAGGTTTTATTTTTTGTGGTACAGGGATTGAACCCAAGGCCTTGGGCATGCTAAGCAAGCACTCCACCACTGAGCCATGTCCCCAGTCCCCTAAAAGCTTTTAAATATGTCTGACTCCTTCAAAAAAAACTAACAAAAACCTGCAGATTTGGAGAATTAAAAAATGATGGCACCATCTAAAGGATTTTTTTGCTAGGAAATTAATAGTATAGTAAATGTCACTGAATAAGACTCCATTTTAATCTCTAGAGACTGGTAACTTTAGTTCATCCAAATCTCTAAACATGGAATTTAAAACGTCTTAGAAAGTACTTTTAGATTATTTACTTAATAGTAAACTGGCTTCTGAGACAGTAAAGAATCTAGCAATCCCATTGAGTGTTTAAAACCCTTCTTTTTTAAGATTGTTACACAGGAACCAAGATGTTTAGCAGCTGACTGCAGCTAAATTTAACCTGGGAAGACCCACAGACAATGCTAACAAAGACTCTCTCTAATGAACTCTTCCACCTGGCTCATTCAGAATCCCTAGAGGAAACATGTCCCATTTCCTTGTACTTGCATTGGAAGATAAACTAAAAGACTCTCTAAAGCAATGGAATTAAACAAGAGGATATTCTTTCAGCATCACTATCACCTAACCTATGGTGACACTTCACACTCATTCAATTTTACATTTATTAATTTCTACTTGCTGCAACTCAGAAGCCATTCTAGGTAGTTGGGGATAAAAAATGAATGTATTCTTCCTCTTGAAATACTGTTTGAATTTTATTTGCAAAAGCATATTATTTTAAGTCATTAACTCACAATTTAAGTAGGCACTAATTCATAGCTGAAACAGAACGAGTATGCTGCAGATGTCAGCAGTGGAGAAGACCACTGAAAATCCAGGGAAAAGGAAACTGGTATAATCCTGGTCACAGGATTCCAAACCTTCCAAGTGCCAGCAATGTAAATAATTTTGGTTTTTCAAATTGGTATATACCTTATGATTTAAATTTTTAATTACCAAAAGTGCCTTATTTCATAGGGCCTTTAAGATCAAGTGAAAATACACATGGACACACACATCACATATACCACAGTACTTATCATTGGGTGGCTCAATGCATACTACTTTTAAAAGTGTACATCCCTTAATGCTATTCAGCAGGACATTGTTAATATAATTTATACTAATACAAATTCTGTCAACACAACTTTATTTATGACCACAATATTGCTGAGTGGCAGACTGAAGCAGTGGGGTTAACAAGAAACAACTTCCAGCCAGAACTCTAGGGCTCTTAGGGCTCTAGCTCTTATGAGCAGCGGCCTTACCTTAAATAAGTGGTTTTATCATCATGGATAAATTTTCACACAAGGTTGTAAAAACTAAATGTTAGGGATATAAACTCAACCGATAACTCCTCAAAAGTTAAGTTCATTCTTCATAATTCCTAAATAAATCCATTTTCCAGCTGTACACAACACCTGAGTTTTGGCTGCTCAGCATGTAAATTCTAGCACTACCTGAGCCCTTTCCCTTTCCTAACCAAGGGGGAGGGAGGGAGGGAGGGAGGATGACATTTCCTCTAGCCTGGTTCCCTCCAGGGGCTCCAAACCTAAGTATGGCACAGCAGCCACTGTCCAACTGGTGATGTCAGTGGTGGTGTGTGTGGCAGAGTCTCAGCAGTGTCTTGGTACTCTAAACTCACAACAACTTCACATCAGTTCCGTGAGCTATTCAGCATCCACCTAATACTTCTTTTATTTTCCCTCCCTCCCTCCCTCCCTCCCTCTCTCTCTTTCTTTCAGTACTGGGGCCTGAACTCAGGGCCTCGCAGTTGCTAGGCAGGCGCTCTACCTTTGAGACACTCTACTTGCCCCAATACTCCTTTTTGTCCTTAAGTAAACAAAATCAATTCCTATTTTTTCTAAACAAGAACCCTAACTGGTACATTTTTGTAAAACTAATAGCAAATATCAATACCATGAAATAATTTTAGTATCTTTTCCTCCACGCCTGTATATACAAAGATAATGGAAGCAATGTATTCTTCTGCTGTAATGATGGGTGAAATATATCAAAATCCACTCGCTGAATTTTCTTTAAATAATCCTCTAGAGAAACCTGAAAAAAAGAAAAAAAATAGTGGTCACTAGATCATAAAATGATCAAGTCTTTCTCATAAAGAAAAAGTACAAGCTGGATGTGGTGATGCATGCCTACAATCCCAGCACTCAGAAGGTTGTGGCAAGAAGATGACCAAGCTCCACACCAGTCCTGGATTACACAGCAAGACCATGACTCAAAAACAAACAGGAAAAAAAAAAGTACAAATACTAAAGTTATTTTAGTTTCTTGAGATGGTTGTCTATATAATGAGAATTTTTAAAAGGAGCAGAGAAAATAGGTATCTCCCAAGAAGTTTCTAAGAATATCCCAAAGCCATACCAGAAATATCAAACCTCTTTTGTTCATAATATATAATGATCTACAGGAGCTGTAAGGATTAGATAAGTTATCTTTACCTGGTCTTAAAAAAGGATATTTCCCATGGGGGTGATGGTGTAGCCCAGTGGTAGAGTGAATAACTGGCATTCTTGAGGGGCCTTTATCTACCACCAGCACCAAAAATAAACAAATAAATAAAAGAATTTTTGTTTGTTTGTGTTTGAAACAGGATCTCATTAATATAGCCCAGGCTGGCTATATTAATTAATTTCCCACCTCAGTCTCTTGAGTGCTAGGATTATAGGCATATACCACCATGCCCAGCAAAAAAAGGACAATGTTTTAATCAAGAAAAATGAAACAACTCCCACCCCCATTGCACTGTGCCATGAGGAAGCTCAAGTTGTCTTTAAAAATTATTTTGTAAAAAATTTAGTGGGTCTCCATGTTCTTGATAGAAAACATGATTTTTAGGACCCTATGCTATAAATGTCACCCCGTCCTTCCCCAATTACTCTATGTGTACAGAGCTTCCTAGAGTTCTGCAGCACAGAATCCATGTGATCCAACTCAAGGATCATGTCCACAGATGTTTGGTGGATTTTTTTGGCTGTACTGGGCTTAGAACTCAGTGCCTCATGTGCTCTATCAGTTGAGCCACTCTGCCAGCCCTTTTTATTTGGTTATTTTTGAGACAGGATCTCGCTTTATGCCCAGGCTGGCCTGGAATGAGTCCTCCTATTTGTACTTCCCTGCATAGCTGGGATGACAGGCACATACCATCGTGTCCAGCCACTGATTGAGACTGGGGCGGGGGGAGGGGGGTGGTCTCATGAACTTTTTCCCCCCAGCTGGCCTCAATTAGCTAGTCATCCTCCTGGATCTCTGAAAACGCAGTTTGCTTTGCTTTGTATTATCAAAAAACTTAGAAACAACCCAGAAATTCTCTGACCAAAAAAAGATAAAGGCCAGGTGTGGTGGCTCAGAGCTGTAATCTCAGCTACTTAGGAGGTAGAGTTTGGGAGGACTGGGGTTCTCACAACCAGGTCAAAAAATTAGCAAGACTAAATCTCAACCAACAATCCAGGCATGGTAGTGTACATGATCCCAGCTATGCAGGAGGCACAGGGAAGAGGACTGTGGTCCAAGGCCAGCCCTAGGCAAAAACATAAGACACTATCAGAAAAATAACTAAAGCAAAAAAGGGCAGGGAGCATAGCTCAAGTGGTAGAGCACCTACCTAGTGAGCATAAGGCCAAGTTAAAACCCCAGTACCACCAAAAAAGTAAACAAATCATTCATACAATGAAATACTATATTGCAGTGAAAAGAATGTATGATAGTTAGATGCAGTATGGAAAAATCTTAGAATCATTAAGAATGTATGTGTATCCAAGAAAACAAACAGAAAATGATGCATTTTTATAAAGCGCAGAAATAAAATCAAGCAACATATTGTTTAGAAAAATATAAAATGAGGAAAGCTTTGAAGAATAAAAGGTGAGGGGAAGAGGGGATAAAGGAGAATGATGAAGAGGGTAAATTCAACTATGAAATACTATAACCACTTTTGTAAATGTCACAATGTACACCCAGTACAACAATAATACGATAATTAAAAAAAAGAATAAAAGGGAACAATAGGCACAAAATTTAGGATAACTTCCTGAAAAAGGAAAGCGGAAGCATGGAGATAGAATGGGAAAACATGAGTACAATTTGATGGTGACACTCTTGAGAGTTTCTGGACTGAGTGGTGAGTTCACAAGTATTATTATATTGTGCTTCTAACATATACATATATAAAGACAGATTCATGTTTATGTAGCAAAATTTTAAAGAATTTTAAAGAGAATCAAAGAAAAAACTTTGAAAACATTTTCAAGTACTTTCTTTCACATGTTCTCTCTTTTTCTGACAATGTCTCAGTGCACAATCATGCCTCAGTATTACTGGGGAGTTAATTTCAGGACACACTTTGAGAATCACAGGTATAAGTTAGTGGTTCTGATGCCTAGCTATGCTTTACAATTATGAGGGAACCTTTAAAAACTATTAACAAAGGGCAAGAGATATGCCTCAAACGTCAGAACACTTGCTTAGCAAGCTCAAGGCCTTGGGTTCAAACCCCAGTAATACTCCCCCCCAAAACAAACAAACAAACAAACAAAAAAACCTGTTAATAAGCCAGATGCAATGGCACATGCACTTGGGAGGCAGAGGCAGGAGTACTTGAGTTCAAGGCCAGCCTGGGCTTCATAGGGAGACCCTATCTCAACAAAATAAAACAACAAGTATCTATTAAGGCTTGGGCCCAGTCTCTTAGATATTATGATTTAATTGGTCTGGGGAGGGAGCTTAAGTATTTATATGTATGTGTATATATATATATATATATATATATATGCTTAATAATACATATAAATACTTAATATATTAATATATATAATTTGTACACATATATAGTTTATATATATGTATATATACTTAAAGTATACATATTTAAATATATATACACATATAAAAGCTCCCCAAGTGATTCTGATGGGCAGCTAAGATTGAGAACAACCATTTCCACAGAAGTAAATACAACAAAGTCCTTAACTTTTATGGATCTGACTTAGTATGTTAAACTGCTGATAGTACATCTACCAAACAGGTAACTATTAAAAAGGCTGATACAGAACAATATTTATTGACATACATAAGAATATATATGTGTACATTTATTTAAAAAACATGTATATGATATGTACATAAAAGGTCCAGAGAGATGAAGACATTATTTCTGATAGAACTGTGAAGGTTCTACTTTCTTCTTTGGTATTCTCTTAAACATTTAATGTATTAACATACTACTTTTATAATAAGTAAAACAATAAAGAAATAAAATGATCTTCAACACACAGGACTAAAAACTAGGACAGAAGATGAGAAGGGATAAAAATGAATCTTTGAATATATTTTGGGGGAAACTGGTATGGGTTATGTTTGGCATTACAGAAAACATGAGTTTACAATTTTCAAGGAAAATAAATCTTTGAATTTTGGTTTATACTATAAAAGCTTAACCAGGTTTATTCTCAGGAAGAATAGGAATGATGTTTGGAATGAGCCAGTTTAGAGCCTGTGATGGGTGCTGAGATATAGTGACTACCATTTCTGTATATTACTTTTTGCCATGCTAGGGATCAAACCAAGAGCCTCCTACTTGCTGGGCAAGTGCTCTGCCACCGAGCCACACCCTCATCCCCTTTGCTACATATTTTAGAACAACAGTCCCCTCAAACAGCTGTGCATCAGAATCACCTGGGGAACATTTAAAAATTACATTCTTCTAGGGACTGGACCCTTCCTTGATCCTGAGAGTCTTATTTAGTAAGAAGAACCTAGGAAACTCTGCTTTAAAAGAGTTGTTCAGGCTAATTCAATACAGCCAGCTCAGCACTGGTCTGTGAACCACTGATCAGGAACCAGTGCTACAATATGGTCAGGTCACCATAGAGAAAATATTTACAGAATAAGAAGTAATATTTCTATAGCTATAAGTAACCTGACAATCCTAAAAGGTAGTTTCTCCTACAATTCTCATTTTATTGATGAATGAACTGAAGAACACAGGGGTTAAAGAAATTAAGGTACCATGGCTAGTAAGGGACAAGCAGACTCAACCCAATGTAGTCTGGCTGCAGAGTCAGTGCTAATGACAACTTTGGGAAATACAGGTGTGACCGTAACAAAAAGCATCATGTAATAAAGCCACTACACAGGAAGGAAATAAGACTGAAGACTCCAAACAAAAGAAGTGCACAAGGGACTTTATAAAACATAAAAAGAGATCGCACACATCTGCTTCACTAATTATTGAGCCTTCTCTGCTACAGTACTTACCGTCTGAAGAAAAGCAGGAAATGCTTTCACAGGAATACTTTTGTGGAAGGACCTAGCCTAAAGAGGAAGATAAAAAGGAAACCGGTTTGAGATACTTCTGCAAATAAACACTCTCCCTCTGAAAGTGAACACAAAGCCACACCAGCAGTAACCAGGATCTCTCTCTCTCAAAAGCAATAAAATAGTTCATCTCCTGCTGGCTAATATTAACTTCTAAGCCAAATGAACTCAGGAAAAAGTACCATTGTCCTATATTTAAAATCCCACTCTTTCTTATGGATTGGCTTTGGCATCTTCCAACTACATTACAGCATTTTATAACAACTTTGATCCTCCAGCTCTGTTATAAGGGCTAAATGAAGAAATACTTGCTTATGTTAAAGCACCTGCCTAGCTTAGGCTGTGATTATGTTCATGTAGATAAACAGATGATCCTAAGTGATCTTCCTGCCTCTGTGTTCCCAATCTTTAATTCATTCCACAGATAGGCAAATTAATGCCCTCACATAATCACTTCTAATTTTTACTTTAACTCAACTCCTGAGTGATCAAGTCTCAAGTATTCATCATGGAATTCAAAGGCCTTCACGTTTTACCTTAATCTCATCTATCCAATCTAATTTCCTACTATTCTCGGCTATGAATACCTGGTCCACTCAGGCTGATGCCTCATTCTGCATTTGTCATATCCAGTCTTGTCTCCAGGTCTTCATTTGTATAGTCCCTTATATTAGAAGGAGCACATACCATCTCCACGTCCTGACTTGTTACACTATGGTTTTACACCCAATAGTCTACTAAAATTGCTCTATGATAGTCATCTTTCTCTTCACTTTGTAGCATGCAAAACTTTGATGCTCCCTTTCTTCTTTGGTTTTCTAGACATTGACTCCCAATTCTCCTATTCTTTCCTTTCCCTTCTTCCTAATAAATGGTTTTTACCTGATAAATGGAAGTAGGCCTCAAGGATCTATCCCTGGTCTTCTTGTCTAGATGTGTACTCTCCTTGAGCAACAATATCCAAACTTAGAACTTTAACCATAATCCTTTTATTCGGGTGACTCCCAAATCTATTCTCCAATGTTGACCTCCTCTTAAAGTCGCAATAGTCCATCTCCCTAAATGTCCTCAAAAACCCTCAAATGCAACTATGTCCAGCAGCTAGTCCAAAGTCTAATGATTAGCACCAAGTACACCACTGTTATTTTTTATTGTTTCTCTGAATGGCACCATCATCATCTATACTTGAACTCTGTGTAGTCTTGATTTTCTTCCTGATCTTGCAGCCATCCAGTTATCAAGTCTCATTCTGTGTGTATGTGCACATATACATACATACATACATGCACAGACAGAACATGTACTCTCTCTAAATGACCTTGCCCCTCTCCTAAGTAAGTCTCCTATGGATCTCTCAACCCCCAATCTCTTGTCTCCAACACTGCTGGCAGTTTTCTACTGCACACCACTAATGTCCTGCTTTACTTGAGATGATGAAAGCTCTATAATTAATTTACTATAAGTCAGGCACTGTTATAAACTGTATGTTAGCCTGTGTATCCAAATAATCCTTTGAGCTGGGGGCTAAATATGATCCTCTTTTACAAATGAGAAAACAAGACACAGTGAGGTTATAATCACAGAATTTGTAAATAAACGGCAGAGCTAAGATTAAAGGGAGGCTCTGGTTTCAGAGTTTACATTCTCACCCACCATGTTCTTTTGCTTCTCCAAAGCCTATAAAGCTCCACGATTTTTCTTCAATCCACTACTCCAAACCAATTTCCAGGACTGGATCTCATATGACCAATAAATCATTAAGTTATCAAACCTGGCTACTTAAAATCATTTTGAGGCTGGGGATGTAGATGAAACGGTAGAGTGTTCGCCTACCATGTATGAGGCATGTACCCAGCACTCTAAAATAAATAAAATTAAATTTAAAAATAATTTGAAAATATTAATTCCTGACCTCTCTCAGGTTTACTGTACCAGTCTCCAAGGAATGAGACCTAAGAATTTATATTTCCCAGGCACCTTAAATGCTCTCTCACTGGGACTACTCAGCTTCCACACAGGTCCAGGACTTTTCCTGCTTCTGCCATTCTGCAGTGTTCTCAGATCTCACACAAAACTCTGCTAGTTTTTACCTTAGGTAATTGCTCATCTAGAGTTCCATGTATTTTAAATACCTGTGTCATGGCAGGTACAGAATCTTTAAGAAATTCAAAGGAAGTGAATTTTTAAATTGTTTCATTAATAAATGAGTGCCTATAATGTACCAGACCCTTTAGATGCTGAACAATACAGCACAGAACCAAACAAACTCACTTATGTGCCATGAAGTGAGGAAGCAATAAGTACATAAACTTTTAACATCAGGAAGTAAAAATTTCTAAGTCAGGTAAGGGAACCGAAGTGATGGGAAGGATGAATGTTATTTTAGATGAGGTTGCCAGGAAATATCTTTCTGATAAGATGACATCTGAACACTGACTATGGAAAGTGGGGCAGGTAAAGGACAAGAAACAGAAAAACAAGTAGAAAGACCCTGAGCGATGCCAATAAATGACCAAGTCTTAGGTCCACTGAAGGTTAACTCTCAGAAGCCACTGAACTAGACAATGTTATAGGAGTTAAAGAATAGCGTCACAGAGATGTAGGACACAGGCAGTGCCAAGAAAGAGGCAGACAGTCAACAGTGTCAAGTCTCAAACAGAAGACAAGGTAAAGTTTGAGAAGAGATGAGGAATGAACTCCTTGAAGCACAACTAAAGTGGCACACAAGAGAACCATGAACCAGTACCTCAGAAGCCAAGTCAGAGAATTGAGGGGAGAAAAGAAAGTTTCAAGGAGAAAGAAAAGTGTCAGTGGTGTCAAAAAAGGAAGGCAAATTAGAACAGAATGAGTGGTGCCAGGGTGACAAAGGCCTTGAAGTAACAATGAATGGATATCACTTACTCAACAAGTTTCTGGGAAAGAAAAATAAGAAACAAATGGGCCTATGGGCTGCTTGTAAATTCATAAGGCTGTACTATAACCAGACGATAAAAGGGACAAACTGAAAACACCAGTAGGGAACTGCTGAGAAGACCTGGAAGGGGGAAGAGACATAGCAGCCTTGAGATACTCTGCATGGAGCAGAGCAGGTCAGCTGAGAAAGCTCAGACTTTACTTAATCATAAAAGTACCTGCTGAGGGAGGGAAGGGGATTTTTTTTTTTTAAAGTAGGAAGGGTTTACAACAACCTCTGATGTAAATCTACTGAGAACTCAATGAAAAATGGAATGAAGACTGTCAAGGTGAGAATATCATAACTGTGCTATAGGAATAGCCACATCTAGGAATAATAATTTCCTAAGTGATCAGGCAAAAAAAAAAAAAAGGCTTCTTACATGCTTTAGGTGTAAGTGTGCCTGGCTTGCAATGTCATATATTACATCTCTCATGTTTTTATCTCTGTTCTTCCGCAGAAAGTCCTCTTGTGAAACACCATGCTGTGTGAGAAAAAATACTTTGTTAGCACACTTAAAATTAACATAGCTTAAGAAAAGCAGATACAGAAAAGTAATACAATTTAATGCCTATTTTTTAAATTCGTGTGTGTGTGTATGTGTGCATGCAGAGAAAGAGCAGAAAACAAAAACACAAAAAGTTTAAAACAGCAGACAATGAAGATCTCATACAGAAAGCAAAAATTCTGGCTGGGTACCTAGCTACTCAGGGGGCAGAAATCGAGAGGATCAGTTTTAAGCCAGCCTCAGTAAACAGTTCACGAGACCCTATCTCAGAAAAAACCCAGTGAAAAGGGCTTGTGGAGTGGCTCAGGTGTAGGCCCTAAGTTCAAACCCCAGTACCACAAAAAAAAAAAAAAAAAAGTTCTGATAAACATTTTCTAAAAAAGAATTACTTCCTCCAATAAGATATAATAAAGAACAGGTCCAGGTGCCTACTAGGAGTAGTTACTGTAATTACTTGGAAGGGAGTAAAGCATTAACATGATGCTACATTAAATGAGGTTTTCTGGACCTTCTTGCTCACAGCTCCTCCAGAGATCTACTGTGCCTGACAAATAAAATTCTAACTTGATAACCAGGACAAAAGGAGGAAGACCATTTACAGGAAGCAATGAGCATTCCTTTCATAGTTACTGGAAATAGACAAAGCAAGGAATCAAGAAACAACTTCCCTCCCAGTATTCCTGAGGTGGATTGCTAGAAGGTACAATTACTGCCTTACCAGCATACAGATATCCATGGGAAGGAATACTTTCCTTCTGCTACCATGATAGGGAGTTGCTCTCAAGCAAGTGACAATGCCTTGTGCTTTTCCGATGTGACTTGCGGCATGATCTGCATGAAGATCCTTTATACCTAGGATTTTAGAAATCAAACAAGGCTGCTCTATTTTAAGTGCATAACAAATCAACAGAAATAACATAGAGAAATCACCTAAACACATAAAGATAGGTGTTTATCCTCTGTTTATATATGAAAAACAGGATTTATGAGGGGAAAAATGGGGCTCAAGGATAAGCTGAACATTTTCCTATTAGTTAGGTATCCGAATCTCAACTTTTGAGACATTTTCCCTTAAACTTTAGCACACCAAGAACACATGTAGAATTTTAATCAGCTATAACAGAAACCCATTAGAAGTCTTCTATTTTTTCTCCTCTGTCCTAGAACCTCACTTTCAGTGCATGTTTGAGAAACATTCTGTTTGCAGCCTCCTTTCATTTCGATGGCAAACAAGTCACCAGGGGTGCAGGCACAATAGACCTGGGACATTCAATGGGGACTCATACTGTACTGTTTTGGGGTGACAAAAAGATATATTTCCTTTTTCTTGGCTCAAATAATCTCATTACAATAAGACAAAGTCAGAAGAGGAAAAGAATTATCTGAAACAATTTTTAAAGAAAAATCTCATAAAAACTTTTATAAGTGCAGTTTTGTATCTTCTACATTTTAATTAGCATATAATAAATGTACAGAAGGGATACACTGTGATATTTACATATGTGCTTACAATGTATCTTAATTAGATTAACTCCTTACTTGGGTCTCCCTTGTCCCCTCTCCCCTACTTCTCATTATTTTGTGTTCATAAATGAACACAAAATACATTTTTCAACATGGGGAGTATTATTTACAGGGAAGAAAAAGTCAGGGTACAAGACTTCTAAATTGCTAGAGCTAATACAATAAAAAAAAAGTAAAGCCATTTGCAATTACCAGATTATTAACTGCAATATTCACATAAGGTACCTAAAGTATTTTTATGAGAGCCTGAGTATTTGAAATACTTTGCCATACAAAAAAAAAAAAATACATATATACATATATATATGTATTTTTTTTTCCCTTCTTGCTATTAAAAAAAAAGTTGTTACTTTATGGATAATACAAAGAAAACTTTCAGTGCTAATCTGGTTAGACTGTCAAATAAGCAAAGAGTGAAATCTGAATGGTGTTTTATTTGAAAAGCGATGTATGAAATAGGAAAACAACTTACCCAATATTTCTAATGTTAAATAAAGAAGAGAGCTCTGTGTGTTTTCAGCATAATTTTCAAGTTCCTGGATATTACGATATGCTTTGTCATCCAAATTTTTTTCCTATCATTAAAGAAAATGCAAATAGTTTGCTGAATTATCAATTTTTCTATAAAGAAAAGATGTTAGCCCTAAAGAGTTAAGAATAAAATATCACTTAGCATATTTGTTTAGGACAATAAAGATTAAAATAACATTAAAATCTTACATACTCAATATTTACAAATTGCCTCTCGAATATGCAGGAATAATCTAAATGTACCATAGACATGGGGTTGACTTAATTTTAATTCTTTCTGAAGCCTAAGGTGTTAAGAGACACTGACTTTACTGAGCTGAATCTATAGTAACTCTATGTTTAACTTTTGGAAGAGCTGCCAAACTGTTTTTCCACAACAACTATACACTTTTTTTTGGAGCAACTGGAATTTGAACTCAGGGCCTGCTAGGCAGGAGCTCCACCACTTGAGCCACTGCTCCAGCCCTTTTCTGTGTTTGCTATTTTCGAGATAAGAGCTCATGAACTATTTGTCCAGACTGGCTTTAAACCACCATCTTCCTGACCTTTGCCTCCTGAGTCGCTAGGATTATAAATATGAACCACTGGCCCCTGACTGCAATTTTACATTTCCACCAACATATGAAGGGTTCCAAATTCTTCACATTCTCACCAGTACTTGTTATTGTTTATTTTTTTAATTATAGCCATTCTACTGGGTGTGATTAGGATTACTTGTCATTTTTATTATAGTTATCCTAATTACATGTGATCTCATGGTTTTGATTTGCATTACCCATCTTTGGCCATTTGTTCATGTACTATGGAAGAAAGTCTACTTGAATCCTTTACCAATTTTTAAATTGAATTGTCTTTTTTATTGTTGAATTATAGTATTTTAGATATTAGTCCCTGAGATATGTAACTCCAAATATTTTTTCCCATTCTCTGGGTTTTCAGTTTCATGATGTTTTTAATTTTGAGGAAGTCCAATTTATCTATTTTTCCCTTTTCTTGCATGTGTCTTTGATATCTAAGAAACCTTTACATTAACCTCAAACCACAAAGATTTACACCTATGTTCTTGCCAAAGAATTTTAGTTTTAACTCTTGCATTAGGTCCTGGAACTGCTTGTTAACTTTCACATACAGTATGAGGAAGGAGTCCACATTCATTCTTTTGCATGTGTCTATCAAGCTGTCCCAGCACTATTTGTTTAAAAGGCTATTATTTCCCCCCACTGAATTGTCCTGGAACACTTTTCACTCAACTGACTATAAATATTTGGGCTTATATCTGGACTCTCCCTTCTATTCCATTGATTTATGTCTATCCTTTGCCATTACTACACAGCTTGATTATTACAGCTTTTGTAGTTAAGTTTCACAATTAGGAAATATGAGTCTTCTAACTTGGTTCTGTCAGAAATATTTTGGCTATTCTGGGTTCCTTGCATTTCTACAAGAAAAGGAAGCTGGAACTTTGATAAAGATTGCATGAAATCTGTAGATCAATGTTTGATCTTAGTCATTTACGTTTAAATATGTCTCCTTTACAATGCTAAATGCTACTTTTCTTTAAACAAAAAAGGTGTCTGTCTTGAGTTCTCTAATTTCCTTTACCTTGCAAAAACAGAAAGCACTTTAAAAATGGATTTTCTTTGTGCTAATTCACTCTGTAGGCCAAGTGAGGAATTATGTTGAATGCTGAGGTCATCATTTATCTTTTTTTGGCTTTTTTATTACTGGTCTATGATTATGAACACATTTTTATCTAAATAAACTAAGTAAACTTACATTTTCATGACAATGTATGTAATATCTATGAGGCCAATAAGGATACTTACCCAACAATGCATTGGAAAGATTATACAAGTGAGGCCAGGTCACAGAGCAACCAACAGGCTCAGGTGGGCCTAGAACTCAGTTCTAAGAATTTAGTGCAGGGTTTTCTTCACTGGAACTGGAAGATTTTCTTTATTCCCTCTACTATCTGGACCCAGATCCACTCCACATATGTAAGAAATGTTATATGTAAGGAATATGTATAAATATGAGTATTAGATGATACTAGGAATATTAGTAATCTTTTAAGGCATGTATTATGGTTATCTTCTTGAAAAGTCTTTATCTTTTTAAGAAACATATGCCCTTTGCAGGTCAAATGATATGTCTGCAATTTACTTAAAAATAACCCAATGGGACTCAAGTGGTGGAGTGTTTGCTTTGTAAGCACTAAGCCCTGAGTTCAAACGGCAATCCCACCAAAAGAAAAGAAAGAAAAATACAACATGTATTAGTGAGGGGGAGTTAGCATATTATAAATGAAACAAGACTGGACATGTGCTAATCACTGTTAAAGCTAGGTGACAAATACTATATCACATATACTATATTAAGGTATATTACAGTATTCACTCTACTTTTGTGTAAGTACGTAAATTTCCATTTAAAAATAAACAAGGGGCTGGCAGAGTGGCTCAAGTGGGAGAGCACCTGCCTAGCAAGCATGAGATCATGAGTTCAAACCCCAGTACTGCCAAAACACAAGCAAAAAACAAAATAGTAGAGTGCAGTTGCACACACACATGCTTCGACTCAGTGCCTATCTGTCTCAAGGTGAAGGAGCATAGCTGAGGGGGTGGCATGTACAGATGGAGTATGGATAAAACAGTGTTGTTCTCTAAATCTCCTTCCTCCAAAATACTAATACATGTATTAAACCTTTCCTCCCTGAATAATTAACTTAAGGATTAAAAAGGAGAAAAAATTTAAGACTTGGACAATTTAACTTACTCTTTCATCAATGATTTTCATAAGCCATCTTTTAGTCAGATTATGTCTTTTTACAGCCTAAAAAACAAGAGTATAGTAAGTTTTTAGAAAGTATTAGAAATAACTTCTATAGCTCTGAAGAAAATAGACAAACCAAATGCAAAGCTAGGTAAAAGAACATTTGTAATAACTCATGTAGAGAGTAATAACTATGTAGAGAGCTGTGTTTCAGAGAAAAGAAAGTATCTGTAGAAAAATATTTCAATACATTTCCAAGTAAAGCTAGTATCTGTGATACCTTTCCACTGTCTTTTTTTCCTTTGCTTTTTTTTTCTATTTTTCCTTTTTTTTTTTCAGTGCTGGGGATGGAACTCAGGACCTTGCACTTGCCAGGCAATTTGCTCTTCCACTGAGCTAAATCCCCAACCCCGTCTTTTTTTCTTATACTACTATTTATTTAATGATTCCATTTTCAAATAAAAATAAGAAATATCATACTTCTCTATTATGTGATATGCCCTGACTTCTATGCTTACATATTATATATGAACTTTTTATTATAGGATACAGATTCTATTTAACAAAGTAGCTGCCTCTCCAAAAATGAAGTTACTAAAACATTTAACAAAAACCTGTACAGTAAACTGTTATCTTAGAAAGTAAAGGCACTCCAGCAGGAAACAACCCTCCTAATGCTCAGATCATGGTATCTCTCTCTCCCTTTTTTTTTTTTTCCGGGAGGGAGAGTCTTGGTACATAGTCTAGGGTGACCTTGAACTCACAATCCTCCTACCTCAGCTTTGAGTGCTAGGATTAAGGCATGCACCACCAATCCCTGGCCTACATTGTGATTTCAAATATCACTCTCCCCAAAAGAACAGTGCAGTAGAGAAATGAGTGATTCCATGGTCGGTGCAGAAGAGGTTCAAGATAATCCCAGAATATCTTATTGTGCCAAAAAATAATAAAATGTCCCCCAAAGTGATAGAAGCTAGTCATAAGGACATAGGAGTCAGTTTGAAGAGACTCCCAATTGTTCAAATCTGAGACAATCTGAACACCAAAATGATTAAGTACACTAACAGACTACTGAAAAAACAAAAAATGAAAAACAGTAATTTCTAAGTCCACACCAATAATAAGCTAGTCAAAAAAAATCTAGGAAAGTAAGAGCTCATTCTTATAAAATGCCAGGTGTCAACTGGTAAATAAGGTTAGAGACTGGAGTTGAGAAATTACCATTTTGTAACCATAACAGTAAAGTTTGAATCATACAAGAATACAAGAACCATCAACCACTGCTACATTTAGGAGAAATTTTTGATGAAGAGGAGGACATTTGCACAGGTTTGTTTTTGTTTTGAGGTACTAGGGTTTGTGAGGTGGGCACTCTACCACTTGAGCCCACACCCAGCCTTTCTTTTTCTTTTCTTCTTTTTTTTTTTTTAACTCTGGCTATTTTGGAAATAGGGTCTTGCTTTTTGCCCAGGCTAGCCTGGACCTTGATCCCATTTTACTGTAGCTGGGATGAAAGGCACATGCCACCACTCCTAGTTTTTTGTTGACATGGGGTCTCGCCAACTTTTTTTGCCCAGGCTGGCCTCAAACTGTGATCCTCCCCATCTCAACCACCCAAGTAGATAGGATTACAGGTATAAGCCCCTAGCACTTGGCTTTTTATTTGCACAGTTTTAAAGTGTCTCCCCAAAGGTTGCTGATTAGTTGTAAGGATTATAATTACACAGTGCAAAAACTAGGAAACATCTTGATTGGGTAATATAAATTAACAATGCCCATAAAGGACAGATTGACAAAGTGTCCCTCCAGCTGTGATACCTTGAGAAGGACATATCACCTATTAAGTATTCCAGCCAAGAATCTATAACCTACATCTAATACTGAGAAAAATTTAGGGAAATCCAAAATGAGTATTCTAAGGTGGGGTGGGGGGGAGCAGTGGGGACTATACTCTTTAAAAAATGTCTATGTAAGCAGAGTACAGTGGTGCACACCTATAATCCTAGCACTCAGAAGGCTGAGGAAGTAGAATCTTGAGTTCAATGAAGCCTGGGTTACACAGCAAAACCTGCCTCAAAAAAAGAAAAAAAGTCAGTGTCACAAAATATAAAAGTTATTGAAGTATTCCAAATTAAAGTAAACTAATAAGCTGGGTGCTGGTGGATAACGCCTATAATCCTAGGTACTCAGGAGGCAGAGATCTGGAGGATCAAGGCTTGAAGCCAGCTGGGACAAATAGTACATGAGACCCTATCTCGAAAAAACCCAACACACACACACAAAAAAGGCTAGTAGAGTGGCTCAAGTGGTAGAGTGCCTGCCTAACAAGTGTGAGGCCTTGAGTTCAAACCCCAATATTGCCAAAATAAATAAAGTAAAATAATGAGATATGACAACTAGGACTGGGGTGAAGTGCAGTGGCAGAGCACTTGCTTAACATGCTTTTCTTCTTCTTTTTTGAAATGCTAGGAAATTAACCCCAAAAAACTTTTTAAAAAAACTTTGTTTTGCCAAGTCGACACTAAGTATGATATATGTTCATAATAAATATAGTAGACCTAAAATCTTAGGCATATATCCTATACTTGAACTCAGATCTTAGAAGTCATTGAATGTAAAGGTGAGCATGATCGCCAACACACGTGAAGTATGGAGAACAGAGCCCCCATTGTCTGGCAGATGCCCGATGGAAGATAATGGGCTGTGTGAACTGAGTTACAAACTGCTCCCAGCACTACCACTGTTCCACAAGACTCCCCGTAGGCTTCTCTCCCAAATCTGAGGAAATGTCATTACATACTCCTTCTCGTTTTATTTTATCTGTATCTAAGTGACATGTGGCCCATTTGATTTTTGTAGCCACGGCACGAGCACTGTTCCTGGCACATAAATATGCTCAGTAAATATTTAATCAAGGCTAAAGCTATAATGGCTGCAGTTCCTTGATTATGAAATGTAACTGATTCTGAAGGAAACTAGAGATCAAGGTAAAAGAATAAATATTTAAAAGCAGCTAAATATCTAATGAATAAAATATTGACTTTGGAAAATGAAACCAAATACAGTAAAACCCTTGACTATCAACAGAAATTCAAACTATAACTAATATTCATAAACAGAGAGAAATAGAGAATCCTATATGGAATGTATAGGAAATTATAAATATTCAACTATTTTTTACCCTGAAAATACCAATGAAACTGTATAGCAGAAAAGTCCTCTCTGGACAACACAATGTCACTGTTCTCCCTCTTTTCAAAAGAACCTGACACTCTTCAAAGGACCAGTGGAAAGTTTTACTGGAGTCACAATGAGCATACATTCCAGCAGTCTGGGGAGGGACAGAGAATATGCAACAAGGACAACTGCTCTGCACACTACCTGTTTCTGTCAACTATTCATATTAATCTTAAATTTGAATCATATTAGAAAGCTAGCTAATGTGAATCAACATTTAAGTGCTTAGGCTAGGCAAATAGCTTAGTAGAGCACTTGCCTAACATGCACAAGGCCCTGATTTTAATCCCCAGCACTAAAAACAAAAAGTAACTATTAAAACTGGACAAACTGGCAACCCTAAATTGGCATTTATATAAACGTTTTGCAATTCAGACCTTCTGTTTTTTTAAAAAAGATGCCAAGCAAAGATAAACTTGTAATAAAGGAATCTCGGATCTGTAACTGCATTTCCTAACAAAAGCCAGAACCTTTGAAGCAAGTCTTAACATAAACCTCCACTGCCTGAATGAAGATAGCATAACGAAATGCACTGAAAGCTGTTGAACAGTAAGACAAAAGAGCAATAGAGAAAGTGTAAGGAACAGAGGGGCTAATCTGATTAAAGTACAATATATACATGTGTGAAATACCATAACAAAACCTCCTTTAAAAATCAATATATACTTTAAAAAAATGAAGGGGAGGAAGGTAAAACTGGTCCTGTCCTAGAGTGGATACTAGTGGAGGAGTGGGGGAGGAAGGTTAAAAGGAGAGAGTGAAGGAGGGCAGAATATGGTAGATGTACTTTGTATACTGTATGAAATCTGCTGAAATTGTTCTAAGAAGGGGGGCGGGGGATGAGGGAGAATGATACAAGATAAGCATACAATGAAACCCCCTTGGTACATCTAATATATGCTAATAAAAATGTTAAAAAAAAAAAGCCTCCACTGCCATCAGATTTGTGTGTAAAACAATAATCAGAATTTCTAAATTTTAGAGAAACTTTTTTTATGGCTGGGGGTAGAGCACTTGTTCAGCATACACAAGCCCTGGGTTCTATCCCCAGCACCACAAGAAAGAAAAGAAAAAAACATAAAACCTCAATGAAAACTTTTCTCTATGCTGTGTCACCTGGGTAGAACTTTTTGAAAAGGGATGAATAGAGATAAACAACTAATCTAATACTCACAGCTTCCCATCCACTTTTTCTTCTCAGTCCCTGGTGTAGGGGGGATCTGGCTTTCCGTTTTTACTGGGGCTCTGTGAAGTCAATCTGGGGCCCAGAGACCCAGCCTGCCTCTGCTGGTGCATAGACCTGAGAAGAGGTGTACCACTGTCAGGTCTGTTGGTGGCTCCTATTACAGAAGTCTCTTTTGGCATTTATCATATTACAACAAGGACACAGATCAATGACAAAAGACACCTAATTCCCTTCCTCCATTCATAGCTTAAAATATTTCTGAACCACGAATGGCTGTTTATGAATGAGGGACCCATCTATCTGCTTCAATATAAAGCCATTTACTATACACATTAAGCTAAATAAAGAATATTCTAGCTCAGGTTTCCATTCACTAATATCTAATAACTAATGGTGAGCTGGCAGAGTGGCTCAAGTGGTAAAGTGCCTGCCTAGCAAGCGTGAGGCCTGGAGTTCAAACCCCAGTACTACCAAAAAACAAATTAAAAAAAAAAATAAAATTCAACTAATGTGCAATTCTATTAAACTAGACAAGGTAGTTTTAGGTTTGTGTCTGGAATATGCTGAGAACAAGTCCCCCTTCACAAAAAAATGAATACATGTTGTTCTACAACCCAGTCTGGATTAAAACACTGGTATAAGGAGCTGCTAGACAGATAGAAAAGAAAATTCACCGGCTGTTGCATCAAAACTTGTCCCTAGGGTTTCCATCCTGCAATCAAATATGTGGAAATATGAGGCAATGTGTAATTAAAGGGACCATACTCTTCTCCTTCCTTTAATAAAGTAATACACCGAAGACCAGAGTAAATCATCAATGAATGATTTTAAATTCCTCTACCAAAACAAACAGATCTGCACATTACATGAGCCTATGAATATTTTCAAGACAGATTCCACCATCAGCATCACTATCTGAATTTTATCCACCACAAAGTAGGCTCAGGGAACAGTCATATAAATTAAAAATAGTGTTCATATGTAGAAATTTTTACCTTCCATAGTTCAATGGCCACAGGCTGATGTGGTGGATTGTCACAATATATGTCTTCCACAGCTTTTTTCCAGAACTGCATTCGCATCAGTCCAGTTGTTTTCTCAGACACTGAGTCCTTAACCTGTACACAGGGTTTAAAAACACACAATTTGTAATTCTCAAAAAACAGTATTCTTGAGATCTTTTGAGTTAATGCAACTGTTCTGTATCACAACTATGGTGGTAAATATGACACTACATTTTTCAGAACCTTTAGAAATATATACCACAAAGTGTAAGTTTGACTGTATATACATTTAAATAAGCTCATCCATTCATTCATTAGCTTTTAAAAAGAAGACTACCAAAAACTGTCTCCCTCATTCGCTACTGATTATGAATGGCTTTCCAGGCCAGGTGTGGTGGTTCACATCTGTAATCCCAGCACTTAGGAAGCAGAGGTGGGAGGATCCAGAGTTCAAGGCCATCCAGGCTACATATCGAGACCCTGTCTCAAAAGACCAAAGGCTGGAGATACAGTTCAGTGGCAAAAAGCTTATCTAGTATGCATAGACCCTGGGTAGGTAACAGCTACATAAAACAACAACAGAAAAGAATGTACTTCTTAGCTTCAGGCAAAAATCACCAATGCATGGTCAATCTAGGAGGTAAATTTTGAGAAGGACCATTGCTTTAAGTGTTTCCTCAATGACTTATTAGTAGCAAGGGAAAAAAATATTAACATCTTGACTGGGTGACCAAAATTAACATCACAACAAAGAGGCAGATAGACATTTCATGCTTGCTGTGGCTCTCTAAAGAGAGCACACACATTCCATTTAGGTAAAATTAGTCTAGTAATGCATAACTTTAATATAATCATGATGAAAAATGAAAATAAAATAAATCCCAAATAAGAACCATTCTCTCTCTCTCTTTTTTGCTGCTAGGGATTGAACCCAGGGCCTAATACATCCTAAGCATTTGTTCTACTAGTGAACTCCACCTCTAGGCTCAGTTCTACCTTTTAAAAGGGACTATATATATTTTAAGTCAGTGTCATAACGACACAGAAAGGCTATGGAAATATTCTAGATTAAAGAAGGTTAAAGAGCTTACTTTAGCTACTTTAAGTAGCTCAGTAGTAGAACACTTGCCTAGCATGTGTGATGCCCTGGGTTAGAGCCCCAGCATCTCCAAATTAACAAAGAAAACAAAGAAAGAACAATAACAACAAAAAAACCAATAAAAACAAAATAAAGGAGGCTAAAGAGACATAAAAACTAAAATCTTAGACTAGCAAGAAAAAGAAATGTCATAAAGAACATTATGTAGTATTTGGAAAAACTGGAAACTAGATGGTAAATCAAATAGAAGTACTGTACATCAAAGTTAAGTTTACTCATTCATAACTACTGTGGTTGTGTAAGAGGTTATGCAGTTATGTTATTCTTATGAAATACTCAAGTTTATATGGATAAGAGCCACAGTGTAATCATGTTACGCTCAAATGACTCATTACCAAAAAAAAGTGTTTGTGGAGCTGGGCATGATGGTGTGTGTGCATGCCCAGCACTTGGGAGGTTGAAGCAGGAAGATTCTGAGTTTGAGGCCTGTCTGGGCTACATAGAGACTATCTAAAAAACAAAAAAATGAAACAAGAGTTTGTGTATACATATATAGACAGAATGACAAAGCAAATGTGACAAAAGAGTATATAGTACTCTTTATACAACACTTACGCTCTGTATGCAAACTATTTCCAAATAAAAAGATTTTTCTAAAAACTATTCCTGGTAGAGGGTGGGTTCCTTAGCACAGTTTAGTGTTGAGACCCAAAAGCAAGGGTGATCCTTTTAAGAATGTGCAAGGCCTTGGATTCAATCCCCAGCACGGAAAGGAAAAAAAAAGAAGACCAAAAGATGATGTCCCCCTCTGCTCAAGGAGCCTCCAATGACTGCCCATCTCATTCAGAGTAAAAGTCAAAGTGACTATAATGGTCTCTGAGGCCTTACCTTTCTGATCCAGGTGCCTCTAACCTCATCTCCTCCCATGCTTCCTGCTCCCTCCTCTACTGTCCCACAGTGGCTTTCTTCTGTTCTTTGAGCATATCAGGCACAACTGCACTTGTTGCTCCTTCCACCTAGAATACTCTTTACACACATATCTATGTAGCTCACTCCTTCATCTTCAAAACTTTGCTCCAATGCCACCTACTCAATGAGGTTTCTTGTGATCACCCTAAATAAAATAGAAACTCTAACAGGGAGTCTAACCGAAGCCTCCCTAGCCCCCATCCTGCTTTATTTTTCTCCACAGCACTTGTCTAACCTGCTACATTACAGACTTATTTATTTAGTGCACAGATTTGCATATTTCATTCAATGTCATACCCCTACCACCTAAAACAGTGTCTAGAATATTACAGACAATCAATACCTGTTGAATGAGTACATGAACAAGACTGTATATGCAAAGTAGTAGCATGATGCTCCTAAAAAGTGACAGAGAATTCAGATTTAATTTTTAAAAATAGAACTTTAGTCATTTAAAAATTATAATGGAAGATCACAATGGGGACTGTTTATAGCTAAACTGTGACTGACTTTACATGCTGATATGTAGATTTACACCTGAAAAAGGATGAGGTTAAAAAACCTGACTTCTGACTTCCAGAAACACACTGTAAGAAAAAGTAGCCAGTCTAGTAGACACAACAGACTCATCTTTGTGAATCTCAGTTGTACCTCGATGTTGTCATTCCTTATTCGCTTCTGTCATATTCAGCAAAGAAGTTGCGCTAAACTTGCCATTCTCTTTAGGACTCTAAATCCTTCCCTGCCTCTGCTCCAATGCCTGAACTCTCCATTCACTTTACTGAGAAGACCAAGGCTATGGTGTCTAAATCCCTCATTTCTACCCCTCATTCAATTTGTCTTGTATCTGTATATGTTTTACCCATCTGCAGGAAAAAAATGATCTCTTCTTCCTTTGTAATTCTTACACAAAAGTGAGTGAGTCAATATGTGATAAGGTCAGGTTTGCTAGGATTGCTTCCATTCCTCCCTTCACATTATAATTAAAACTTCAATTAAAAAGTGCTTTGAAAAAAATACTACATACTTGTAAGTTATGCAATTATTGTAGAAAATATGAGCAATGCTCAATTAACAGACAAATGCACAGTTTTGTAATATTCTCAGAAAAAGAACTTCAAAATTCCAGAACAGCATTTCCAGAAACATATTAGCTAGCTTTTCTGTTGGTATTGAATTAAGCCTAAATAGTTAGTAGGAGAAAGAAACAACAGCAGAGACCTTAAACACATCTAACGTATAAATCTAACATATAAATACATATAACTGTATTTCTTTATTGCTCAGCATTAAACACATTATATCACCATCTTGCAAATAACATTTTAAGGTATTTTAATACCAGCCTGAGCCAGTTCCACGTTGAAGGCCCTCAGCGCAAAAGCAGAGCTTCGGGATTCTGCAGGAAGCAGCAGGGAGCATAAATAATTTTCATAATCTCGCTTCCTGTAGCAAATAGGAAAGAGAAAAGTTTCTAAACTATACATAAATATGGACCAAAATTAGCTGAAAACAATGAGGTTTTAGTTCAGAGTAAGTCTGACATTTCTTTTACAACTATTTGTCTCAATTATGAAAAATGCATCTGCCTCCAATAGCAGGCCAGTTAGAACAGGAATCTATTAATTTACTTTTACTTCTATAGTACTTATAATTTTAATTGTTCCAGAATTACTTTGCTTTTAGTAAGAATTCAAATGTACTACAAAAGTACTGAAGAAAATAGTTTAAGCAAGAATTAGTGTGAACTCAGTTTTCAACACATAGATGGGTATAGTAGGGATGGGTATACCCGATTCCCAATACCATGTGCTGAAAGAACTTAGAACCTCTGTTTTCCCAGTATCAGTGAAGACACCAAGCTCCTAGATCTTGGTTCCTAAAACCTTCTAAGGCTTCTGGGAGGAACAACTGACACTAGGGTTGAGGCAGCAAAAATGGACACATCTGAAACATCTTGAGCAGAAAGTAAAGAAGGGTTCAAGGAATGGAGGGGCCTCGTCAAAAGAACACATAAACTGGCTAGACAAGAGTATGCAGCAATTTGAGCATCAAAAGAATAATGTGTGGCTCAAGAAGCGCAAGGCCAAGTTCAAACCCCAGTACCACTAAATCATAATAATAATAATAGCTGGATATGGTGTTGCACTCTGGAGGCTGAGGCAGGAGGATTGTTTGAGCTCAAGGGTTTCAGGCCAGCCTCAGCAACACAGCAAGACTGTCTAAAAATGGAGATGTAGCTCAGTGGTAGAGTGCTGGCCTGGCATTTCCAGGCTTTGGGTTCCATCCCCAACACAGCAAAGAAAACACAGCAAACAAACAAGGGGTGATGGTGCATCTCAGAAAGCCTGTAATCCCAGTATTGAGGAGGATGAAGGAGAGGAACCAGCTCAGCCTGAGCTGCATGTCAAGACCCTGTGAAAGGAAAGGAAGGGTAGCAGGAAAGGAAGAAAAACAAAACCGAAAACAACAAATACATGTATTTTTTGGATTTGCATGCCCAGTCAAATCCAAGGTAGTTATTTTCTAGTATTTCCCAGAAGCCCTTGAAACCAAGTAAATTCAAGGCCTGATACCACTCTTTTCAACTACGGGCAGAAGGGCTTAGCGACCGGCCCTCCAGGCCTGGTTTCCACGGCAGGCTCCCCCCACCCTCCACAAATGTTTAAGGTGCAACTCTCAAATGCAAAGCTTCCTAGGGTGAGCAGCACACGTCACGTTCCTGACTTTTGACGAGGCTACTCTAGTGAACCTCTGACACCTTTCCGTCCCCGCACTCACTTCCCTCCTCTATTTAATAAGATAATAACGATCTACATTGTATTCACTGTGCCCTTAACTATAAGCCAGGCATTGTTCTAACAGCGGAATCCCCACACCCCTAGATGGCAGGGCTGCACTGGTCCCTAACATTTTGTTATGAGGATTAAATGGAGTTACTTTTAATAATGGCCAACGCACAGGAAGAACACTAAGTTGGCTGTTGTCACTACTCTGTGAATAAAAAAGGTTTTCAGGCAAGGTGGCACGCGTGGGCAGAGGAAACCTCGCACGATTTTGAGTGCCATGTGAATGCTCCTGCGCCCTCACTCTACACACTGGAACTTGAGCCGCCACCACGCAGAGCCCAGGGGACACGGGGGCCCGGCCGGGCTCGCTCACCGCAGCAGCTCCAGGCAGTAGTGCTCAGAACCCGCGGCGACAGGGCCGCTGGCCGCCGTCACGCTCCGCCGGGTCACTGCGGGCGGTCCCGGGAGCCGCCGCACGCGTGCGCACCACAGCCCCCGGGGCGGTCGGCGGCGGCACAGGCCCGGAACGCCAAGCCGTAGCGGGCCCCAGGTCGAACCCAGCGTGGGAGCCGCCATGACGCCGGCGCCCCGTGCCCTTCGACCCCACGCGGTCGGCGCGTGGCCACGCCCCTCCCCAGCGGGTCCCCGCCCGTCTCTCTGAGCCGGCAGGCTGTCGCGCGATGCCGTTCCGAGCAGAGCCAGGTGTCGCTGTGGTCCTCTGCATCTAGGCCGCCGCCGCCGGCTCTCGGCCCCGGTTCCAGGAAAGCCCCGCCTAAATCCGGCCTATCCTTCCCCGACTCCCCCCTCCCGCGTCCATCCTCAGGTGACCCCAGAGCGCCAATGACAGGTGTCGGGTGCCCGCCTCTCAAAAAAGGAGCTGTCAAAATTGTTTCGCCCCCCCCTCCCCCCCGACGGCGGAACATCTTTATTGTTTCTCCACAGAGGGGTCTTGGCACTTTGAATGCGGCCACATTGTCCCAGGAGGGACTGTCCCGCCCCGTGACAGAAATACCCTATACCTGAATGCCCAGGCGTGGGGACCACTAGACGCCCACGCATTTCTAGAGGCCCATGGCAGTGTTGCCCTTTATGGGAGTCTCTGGCCATCTTGTATCTCAAGGAGAAAAACAAAGATCACTGAGACGCGACTTAAGCCGTTCTCAACCACTACCCGTAACCCACTTGATTGTTGTCTCTTACTCTCCAGGTTCAGTGAGGGCAGGGTCCTTGTTTCGTTTCCTGGTTTATCCTCAATGTCAGTCTCTTCAGCATTGTCGAAACTTGCCTCCCTTTGCATACAGGTAAAATCAGGAAGGAGTCAAACATTCAAAACATCTGCATTACTTCAAAGTGCTGTTGGGGGAAGGAAGAGAAATGTCATAGGCCAGAGCTGCAGCGTCCAGCCTAGAGCTCTAAAGAGTCTGCAGTTTCTCAATTTAAACCTGACCTTCCAGGTCCTTATGAAGATGTATTTATCAAGGAAGGAGGATAGAGTATATATGACAGTTTACTAGCTTGATTTATAGCTTTTAAATATTTGTTCAGAGCTGGGCACTAGTGGCTTACTCCTGTAATCCTAGTTACTCCTCAGGAGGCAGCAACCAGAGGGTTGGGGTTCAAGGCCAGCCCCAGGAACTAGTTGGTGAGACCTTATCTCAAAATTACCCAGCCAAAAAAGAGCTTGCAAGGTGGCTCAATTGGTAGAGTGTCTGCCTAGCAAGCATGAGGACCTGAGTTCAAACCCTGGTTCTACCAAAAAACTTCTTTAAATAAATAAATATTTGTTCACATGTATATGGGACTCCTTTGGTACTTTTACCCTCAGAATCCCCAGTTATTAGTTGGGTCTAGTTGCCACCACTAACCTGGACAAAGCCAACAGCCACCTACATCTGGATCCTAGTGACACCTCCTGCCTCAGGTTTCCCGAAATTGTTCCTGCTGCAACAAGATTGTTTCTTTGTATATCTAATCATGGCCCTTTCCTACTTAACAAATTTACTGCATATTAGATGCAGTCCCTCCATGGTATGGCCTCTAGTCACCTCTTATCCTCAACTCTGGCCATTTGCATTTCTTACTCCCTGAGATAGTCTCTCCTGGGCCGGTATAGTAACCCCATCCCAGATCCTCCTGTACAATGTCCTCTTTTCCTTCTGGACTTTTGTTCTTTAGCTCTGACAGACGTATGCTGTTTTCAATATCACAATTTAAAACTGCTCCATAAAAAAAAAAAATCACCTATCCACATTTCTAGTTTTGATCTGCCCAACTGGTCTTTTCCATCTGAACATCTTGTTATTATTTCAAAGTCCTTGTGTCTGAAAACCAAAACAAACCAACTTTTCTTCCTAGTCTCTTGATTTATTTGGACTCTGTCCCCTTCCCGTGGTCAACCAATGGAAACACTTTGGAGTCACCTTTTCCTCTTCCCTTTTCTATTTCTAATGTAATCTAATTGGTCAGTTCCTATTAATTCTTTTTCCTTTGCATATATGTATCCATGGTAACATAGCTGGTGTAAAACTACCTAGCCCCAACTCCTACCTCTTTGTGATCCTAGGTGAGTTACCTACCTTTTCTTGTGCCATGGTTTTCTCACCCATAAAATAGAAATAATAATAGAAACTACTTTGCAAGATTGTTAAGAGAATTAAATGAGTTAATGCATCTAATGCACTTAGGAGAGTACCCAGGCCACAATAAGCACTCAACAAAAGTCAGCCTTGTAGGAAAAGCATTATGCAAGACTTTTCATGTTAACCAGAAAGATTTCTGTGTGTCTTCAGTAGAAAGCTGGGGTCTTTGCACCTTTCATTGTCTTTGAGCTATTTTACAACTTTGTAAGTTATAGAATATTAACAGTAATACAAATGATTCTTGTCCATATTGTGCAAATTGTGCCCAATGGAGATTCAGTTGATTATAGTTCTATGGATATTGATGAGTTTTGTTAGTTTCACTTCTATTATGTTAATTTATTTACACATTCCTAACTACCTATATATGCCTGATACTTCGGATAATCCTTTGAAATGGTTCCCTCATTAATTAATGAGTTGAATGAAGTTTTTGACATATTCTTTTTATATCTGTATAAATGTCATGATTACATAATATTTTTATTATAAAAATTTTATTAGGATATATCCATTATATGGGGGGATTCATAGTGACAGTTCTGATTAGGCTTATATTGTACATTGGTTAGATCACCCCCATCTTCTCTCCCCCTTAACCTCTTCCCCACCCCACTTAAAGCAATTACAAGAAGTTTCTTTGTTCTATTTCATATAAGTATATGAAGTCCATCAACCATATACTCTCACCTTAATCTCCTTCATTCACCCTCCTCCTCCCACTAGTACCTCCCCCACACACATTGTACCTATTTTAGTCTTTCATTATTAATATTTAAGTTGATGTTCAAAAGGGTTTCTCTATGTATCTCCACTGTGGGTATACTTTATTTTGATCCATTCAAACCCTTCCATTGCTCTCCCTTACCCCTTTTCCTCCCACCCCCACCGTTCAACAGCTTTCAATATACACCCTTATATCTTCTATCTTCACAGATGTCATGTCTTATGATATTACTGATGCTTTATCATTCTCTTTTCCTTTCCCTCTTTTCCCAAGATCCATAGAGTAGTTCCACTATTACTAACATGTTCTACATATGAACTTGTATATGATAATGCTTGTTTTTGTGTGTGTTTATCTTTTGTATCCATCTTCTACCTATGAGAGAAAATATGCGGCCTTGGTCTTTCTAGTATCTTTTAAATTATTTTAACAGCTATCTTTAGCTATTATTAACTTTATTTCCATTTTACTTCCATTACCCAGTTTCATATCTTTCTGACGAGCCTGTTTCATTAGTTTCCTAATTAATCCTGTTTCATTAGTTTCTTAATTAGTCTCCAGGCCAAGGAGTCTATATTGAAAAATATATCTCCTTATCAAGATACATGCTAAAGGTGCTATGAATCTACAGATATATAAACCTGAATGCAGATGTATTCGCTTTCCCTTGCTGTGACAAAGACCTGAGATAAATCAACTTAAAAGGAGGAAAACAATTTAGGCTCATGGTTTCAGACATTTCATTACAAAGTTGCTTGGCTCTATTGTCTTTGGGCCTGTGGCAAAGCATTACATCTGTGTGGTGGCTGGTGTACAGGCAGCAAAGAGAAAGAGAGGAATGAGTTTGGGGTCCCAATATCCCCTTCAAGGGTATGCCCCCAGTGACCAAACTTCCTCTAATTAGGCTTCACCTCCCAACAGACCATACAGTCAACACATGGATCTATTGGGAGACATTCCAGATCCAAGCTATAGCAGTTTTTTGAGACAGGGTATCACTATGTAACCCACACTGATCTCAAGCTCATGATCCTCCTGCCTCAGCCTCCTGAGTACTAGAATTGCAGATATGCTCCACCATGCCCAGCTTTAGATAAAGACATTAAGCAAACAAAAATCATCACAAATAAATACATAATTACAAATTGTGATAACTGCTAGTGTCTTAATGAGAATATAAATTCAGTTGCTCAAAAACACAAAGTAATAATTTCAACAAGATAAATGGTCAAGCAGAAGTTTGACTGTGAGCAATCTTGGGCTGCACAGATAGCCCAAGGTCATGAAAGCCCTGCATTCTAAGAAACCCCTCAGTCCCAGGCAAACTAGACGGTGGTCACCTCACTGATACCATTGCTGTCATCCCCATCTGATAAGAAAGGAAAACATGGTTAGGTCATTTGCCCAACATGATACACCTAGTAATTGGCAAAGGCAGAAATTGCATCTTGGAAGACTTCTCCAGAACCTATCTGCTTCATCTCAATATTTTACTGCCAGACAAAGAGAGTGGAAAGAAGAATGCTCCACAAGAGGAAACTACATGTGTAAAAGCCCTGAGTCAGTAAAGGTTTCAGCCTTTAAAGAACAGAGTGAGAGCTGTGGAGCTGGCACTTACTGAGGGTGCAGGAGAGTGGACCATGTGAGACTAGAGAGGTAAGCAGGGATTGAATGATATGAAACCTTGCAGGCCAAGTTGAGATTTGGGGATTTTATATTAAATGCATTGGGAGGCCATTGGAGAAACAAAAGCAGGGACTTGACAAAACCTGTTAGATTTGTGAAGACAACTCTGGCTTTTATTTGGAAAATAGCTTAGAAACAGGGAGACCAGATAGGAGCTTATTGCTGGAGATCAACTAGAGTTATTGGTAACTGTAGGGAACACAGTTCTTATAGGAGAAGCCTATAAGAACTTGACATAAGCACAGCTATGCCTAATAATCTGCAGGCTGAGTTAGCATGGCCCCAGTCACAGAAGGGGGTAAGGGCAAAATGCAGCACAGCTGCTTAAGATGTTTATGTTCCGAGAGTAGCGATGTCACGCCCCCACCCCCCAGAACTGTTGCTCCACCTCGTTTGCCACTGTATATAAAAGACTCCCTGAAGGCCCTGAAGTATCAGAGGGTGCATAACTGAAGGAAGATAGATGTTGGTGAGGCCACCAAAGGGTCTGTAAGTCACCTGAAGAAGCTTGAACCACAGGGCCCAAAAGGACCTGAGCTTG